CGGTGGGCTCCATCAACCATGCTCTGCCCAATTCTATCTTTCCACCGCCATTCCGCTAAGAATCCATGGATGGGAGCGTAGTATAGGCTAATACCGAGGAACTCGCTGAAAAGAGCCGTGGCTACCTCAGCGGGTTATCGGCAGGAGGGTCCCGGCCTGGCTAACTAGTGAGGGACCCCTCGCTCACGACGCTAGTTACGGATGATAAGAAGTGGATGGAATGCAAGTCGGGACGTGGAATACAGTTTCGTTGAAGTTCGCTCCTGAGAGAAAGACAGTTTTTAAAACAAACGGAGTTTGAATTAGAGGACACAAAATTTATTCAGATGGCTAAGATGCAAACTAAATAGAAACACATCAATATAATGATATAAAAGTGATAACAATATAATACCAATATAGGTAATAGAACAAGTAATATTACGATAGATACATATGCGGAAGGAAGTCCGGTGTAGAATCCTAATATCGTGTTGGACTTCCTTTTCTCCGGCGACGTGCAGGATCTCGGCGTGACATGGACTCAACTAGTCGTTGGAAGTTTCCTGCAGAAATATCGAGCCATGCTGGCTCTATAGCCGTTCACAATTGCCTCTGATTTTGTGCACGAACTTGACAATCAACTATGTCCCATAAATGTTCGATGCGATTAATGGAAGCCGATGTAGATGACCGAATCATTGGCTGGTTTTGTATGGCCGGAGCTTTAAAAATTTAGTGGCTGTTCTGGCGGAGTTCTTGGATACACGTACCTGTTGTATGACACGCCTCGAAAATTTTTCTTGGAAATCGTTGTAACCTGGCGATTTCGTTCACCTTCTCTTCTGCCAGGACATGACGCTTTCGACGATTTTATTTATCAATTAAAATACTATGGGTGCGAGGTTCCTTGACAAGCCTCAAAACTGTCGACCGATGTGGAATATTCATTCCCGGAAATTTCTTAATAAACTTCTTGCGGCACTTACTGGCAGACTTAAGCGAAGACGCGAGAAACGAAGGTGTCGAAAAGCAATATTCTCTGCTCCAAAGAGAATTTGTTGGTGCACAGTTGAGCGCGTTGAGGGTCGCGGAGGCACGGGCCGGTCGCGCCGCATGAGCGGGAGCTCGAACGCTGAGGCAAGCGGCAAACTAATAAGCTAATGAACAATCAGGGTTTAGAAAAAGCAGTCATGTGAAATTACGATACAAGGTATTTTAGATGATTGGAAGATTACTATTTAAGTAAGTAAGCGTTACCTTCTTGACTTTCAAAAGGCATTTGAAACGTTTGAAAGGACGTTGCTTACTTAGAAAATGAATAAATTAATCAAAATGAATAAAAATAATGTTATTTTATATCATAAGAATAGAAAGCAAAAATAAAGTATAATAATATTTTCTCATGTAAAATCAGTAAAGATTTAAGTGTACCGCAAGGGTCAATTTTGATTTCAATTTTTTTTATAATTAACATTAATGACAATAAAATGTACGATACACCTATTTGGTAATCATTGCAAAATTCAATTATTTGCTGATTATAATTTTTTGAATGCATTTGATTTGAATTATTACAAAATAAGAATGGTTAAGGGTAAAGAAATGAATAATCAATGTTGTAAAGACGACATTTGGGACTTTACATAGTGTAATAGGTTCCCCATTCTCACCGACTTTATTCAAAATTTACCTTGCCGATTTTCCGGAATTAATGGATACTGAAATAGCCTTGTTCACAGATGACACTGCCATCCTCTCACAACATGACCTGGTTATTACCTTGAAAACCTACAAAATGATTTAAATACCTTAATTAACTGGACTAATAAATGGAGAATCCAGATAAATCCAAACAATTCACAAGCTAAAATTTTCTCGCTTAAAAGGTTCATAATATCTCCAGTGTTAACAATTAGTAACAATCCTGTTCTCGGGCTAAACAATAACCAACCCGTGAAATACTTAGGAGTTAAATTAGATAGAAGATTAATATGGAAGAACCACATAATTGATATTGCTAACAAAACCTATGCAAAAATTGTCAAACGTTACCCACTAATAAATGAAAACTCTACATTAAGAATAGAAAACGGAGTATCAATCTTGAAATCTATAATTCGCCCGTCGCTGACCTATGCGTGCTCAGTGTGGGGGACTCCGCAAACACGCATATTAATAAATTGGAAATAATTCAAAACAAATTTCTAAGACTGGTCACCAAAGCTTCCTGGTTTATTCGTAATGCACAAATCCAAAGAGAATTAAACATTACCTGCAAGAGTACATAAATAAACTATCGAAAATTTTTAATTTAAGTCTTGAAGCTTGTCCTAGCAAAAGAACTTTCAACCTTGGCCGTACAGCTTATGCACCATCCAGTATATTGTCACGCTTTCAAAAAACTCTAAAGCCACCATAATTCGCTGGTACTAATGTTATAAACAATATATTGGATTGTAATAACTGTATATATGTGTTATTCACAAGTGTGGTATTTTTACTCAAGGCATACTTTGGTATATTTTTATGTATCTTCTATATTTTGTATATATTTGTATATTTAATTAGTGGGTATATTTTTGAATATTTTTGTATTAAAGGAAACAGAAACTGTGTATAGACTGAAAAATAAGCTCAAATAAGTATACTTGTGTCCTGATATAAATGGAAGAGACTGTTAGACCTCATGTAATGTATGTATCGTAAATAATAACTCCCGAAAGGCCGAAGCGCCGAACGGGCATGAAATAAATAAAAAACCCAAAAGCATAGTGTAATAAATAAAAAAGTAAAATAATCATCACTAACGCAGAGGAAATACAACGGATGTACAAAATGACACATTTGGGAGTAGTTATTTATTGTAAATTAAATTTTAAAGTTTACACAGGTTAGATTGGTAAGAAAACAGGAAAAAACATTAATAAACAGCATTGAATCGGTTATAAATGTATATACCATACACCAGATGTTTGATGTAAATCCATAGTTGCACCCCTTTTGATAATTGTGCAACAATATTAATTGAAGACCAAATATCCGAAATTAGGAAGCTACAGGTAGAACAAAATAGGTTATGAGGACAATAATTCAGTGCAATAGGTACACTCCAGTACTAGACATGATTGAAACTCTTAAATTTATGCCAATAAAAAAGAAAATGCATTATAAAATGCTATTTTTTATATATAAATTAATTTTCAGACAGTAGAAATTTAATAAACAAAACACAAGGAGAGAAAGACTAAACATCTAGACTTCTAGAGAAACAAATCAAGAACAAAATTTATTCAATTTATTCAAAATCATATTATTCGATGATTAATTTCAGTATATAATAAATCGCCGTTAAAAATGTACAAATGAGATAAAATGATACAATTTAAAAGAAAAACAAAATATCTAAAATAGAAAAAGAATGCTGTAAATAATATAGTAAAGCAACAGATGTAAAGAGGTTTTGATGTAACCGAGGGGGCTAAATCTACGACTGCGTCTGTGTGCGCGTGTGCCTCTCTGCCGACGGCCTCTCTGCTGTCCCTGCGCGCGCCCGCGTCTGTCTGTGCGCCTCCGTGACTGAGTGTGCGTATCCTCCGCACCGGCGCTTCCGCCGAGCCGTGTTTGTCTCTGTCGCCCCGCCCCCGCCCTGATCGACACCGCCCTCGCTGTGTGTGTGTGGGGGGGGGAGACCCTGCACGTACAGACGCTGGCTCCGGACTCTCGCGCAGCGAGCAGCCAGCTCATGAATGATAAACCCTGCATCCAACAGTACACAAATGTATAAATATCTGAAAGGGGTTTCTCGAAGCTTTTTTTAATAATTAATGTTTGACCTCGCGAGTAATTTTTCCCTTAATATGCGACCTACCAACGTACATTATATCCAACAAAGTTAATTATATCCTAGACGTCTTTGGACTTAAGTTAAATTTGTGTATGCGTATTCAATTTGTTTGCAGAAGGAATACATGTTTCTAAATCACAGTCATGAATGAGTTACACCTATGCTTGAGCAATTTATCAGTTGTAGAGATTGAAACGGTGAAATGGGACAATTTCCCTTATCGCACTCGTAAATTCTAACCCTTGAGACTAAAGTGGCCGTCGAGAGAAGTTTCAGAGCTCTTTCGCGGATTATTGAAGGTGTAGTTGCCAGTGCTGATTATCTGCTATCACGCAAGGACGCACGTACAAATTGGATTGGAACGAGACTTCCCATAACGTGTTCTATTGTCAGTCTTTCCATCGGTGGTACAGCCGACACAACAACATATGTTTTATTGAATATATGACTTAGAACTCATTCTTTTCATTTAGTAAGAATTATGATAATTTACTGACATTCAAATGGCATTTTTCTTGCGCTGAGTGAAAAGAAGTAAATTTTATTTTCAGACGCTGCAAAAACGTGATATGAAGTCAGAAATGTTTTACATCATGTGCCATTTTTGTGGAAAAATCATTAAATGTATTGAAATAACAGAAAAATTACGTATTTACTAATGTTTTGCCTTTTTTGATGGGTCGCTCTCTTGAACAATTGTATGATGATTAAAAATTAATCTTACCTTCTAAACCAGTTCCTGAGAGATCTCCACGAACCGCGATCATTTCCTCCTCGTCATTATCCCCTCATCTCCCCTTACACACACACTCACGCACACTCATAACCACTACACTACTACCAAAGTCGGGAAAACGAGCTGGAGATTCCTGCTTCTCCCTCCGAAGGTGCCTGCGGAGGTTATATCTGGACGGGAGAACTCCGCATGCCGACATGTAAGTTGCCGTCGGATCTCATGTCCTAGGAGGAGCGGGAGACGAAAACCGCCGTCTCCGAGCGCATAACGCATTGCTCTAATGACCATAGTAGACACGTCTAGACACAACATAATCAATAAACGACAAATACTTCCCTACCCTAACACAGCGAATTTGTTTCCCTTATTACCCACTAGTTTGTTTGGGTGCTGTGATTGCTTCGGCCCAGTTGTAGCGAGTGCGTGTGCTGTGCGCAGACGGCCGAGGAGTACCGCCTGGAGTACGACTCGCGGCGCGGCGCCGAGTACTCCCGCTTCCACGGCTACACGTACGACGGCGTGTGGGCGGTGGCGCTGGCCATCCAGCACGTGGCGCACCGCATCCGCCACTTCCGCAAGAACCAGACGGTGGTGGACTTCCGGTACCGCGACCCGCTCTGGGAGCGGCTCTTCCTCGAGGCGCTCAAGAACACCTCCTTCGAGGGCGTCACGGTGAGTGCGCACGTCCCGCGCGAGGGAGATGGAAGCGTCTTGGCAACGGACATGTGGGGGTAAACCACACATTACACACGTGTGGCATGTGTCGCGGGTTCGTAAGCAACTCATCATATATTGGCGTTTAGCAGGTACACGAAAATGTTTGGGCTGGGGCAGAACGGTACTTGGAAAACACCCGTCTCTGAAGAGTCAGTCACATTGATACTTTGAACATGTTCATTGGCAAAACGTAATCATTTTTTACCCTCCTAGATCTAACATTTGTTTTGTTACTGTTTAATTCTGTTTAAAGCGGTAAAGAGATATGAGGTTTTTACGATTTGTAGGCCACTTCCTCACAGATGTGTCAAACATATCGAGACGAAAATTTTAGAATTTTGCATATCATTATGTAAGAAGAACATCAAGTACGCATACAACGCTCAAATAACACGCTGTATTGCGTACCACATCTCATTTAATTATTCAAAAACTCTGCGTCGTATGCCATTAAAGCCCGGCGTTTTCTTCCTTCCGTTCCGGGCCGCCAGGGTCCGCAGGTCTTTCCAACGCTGCTGTCTGTTGTGAGCTCATGCGCCGCCAGCGAGGCGGGCCGGCGGCCCCCAGCGCACGACACAATAACAGAAGTCGCTCAACATTATGAACTCCAATTGTGGGGATGCTGATGAGGTATTGCTGACTTAACTGATGAAATAACTGACGTCATCTCCGTCAACTTAACATATTTATTTACAAAGCCAACATTTGACGGCTTTGACGGCTTTGTCAACATCAGTCTACAATTATAAATAAAAAAAGTATAAAAAAATTAAAAGTAAATAGAAAAGTAGATAGGAGATAAGAACAAAGGGGGGATTAATAGATAAAATAGACACATTTAAAATTATAATAATTATAAACCACTAACAAATGAAATTACAAAATATGAAATACAAATATGTATTTATTGTATCGAATGTATCTATTGTAATTTCATTATTTGTAATTTCGTTATTTGTTTTGTGATAATTGGCGAGTGTTTTAAAAACATGTTTCAAAATCCCTTCTGTGTGACACTAATGTGACACGGTTTACCTTTGTGCTTTAGGAAATTTTATTTCCATTGATATAAATTTAATATAAGTTATCTTCAAATTTAAGTATTGAAATACACAAAGTATACTTTCGATTTTATCACATGTATTCATTCATTTTATAAATAAGTTTCATCTCATGAAAAATTTTAAACTGTTTTATTGCCTGGTCCCGTATGATCTTTATATCGTTATATTTGATCGTAATATAACTATTCACGTTCGAAGATACTTTAATATTTAATTCATGAATTAATCTGTAGTAATAACCAAAACATACTGTAAAGTAAACGTATATCAATGCAGTTTGCACGGTTATTTCAGCATTCATTATTATAGAGTATGTTATATGTTGATTTCATTTTCAAACAAATGTATGGATCAAAAACTATTAAATTTGGGCAGATTACTATGAAAATTTTTTGAAAAAAAGCTTTTATGATGTAAACTATTACGTTACTTGTGAATATTTCACTCGTATATGTATGTAAAGACGCCTTGGGTGACTAATATGTAATCACTGAGAGGGTGACATCAAACGAAGAGTGAACGTAATTTCAATTTAAGCTACGGATATTTTAAGTGATTTATAGACCCAAAATTCACGTGATAAAATAAGTTTGAGAACTTTGATCAACATAAAACTATGTCTTTTGTACTTATTACTTGTGGTTTATTGCCAAAAAGGATTTTTCCGATAGAACGTCCCCATTAACAACAAACATTTTAAAGCCGTCGAAATCGCTAGGAAATCTTGATTTGATGCTGTTGGAACATCTGATCGAATATTTTGGTAGTTTTCGCGATGAGTATTTGGTAGTTGGGGTGTGTTTGATGTTGATTGTGATGATGACAAATGATTGGTTTTGGTGAAGGGTTTTAAGTATTTGCAAAATGCATCAACGCCAGGTAGGGTTTGCTCCATTAGTCTCAGTTGGCACCTCTCTTGATTTTGTGTGGCTGCGTCGTTTCGAAATCTGAATGTATTTTTAGAAGAATTCGTCCGAATCCCTATTAAGTCCAGATTCAAGACGCTGATTGCTCTTGCTAATTTCTTCGAGCAATTTTGTCTGGGAATGAGATAGCGGTTC